GTCTAGGCCCGAAACGTCAGCCTTCCTGCTCCTATGATGCTGCTTGGCCTGCTGTGTTCATCCAGCTCTGCACCTTGTTGTCTCTTTTATGATGGAGTGTTCACTTGAAACATTAGGAAATGTATGAAAAACAGAAAGACACTGGGGTCAGTTCACTGTTGCCTTTTAGCAGATTGTCAGAGGAGATATACTGGGACTTAGCTGCTAAATTCTATATTAATTCATTATTATGGGGGGAGGTGGTGGTATGGTGTCGTCAATAATCCAGAATCCCAGACTAATATTCTGAACAAGTGTCATATGAGACTCAAAATGTTAACTCTGTTTTTCTCTCTCTCAAAAGATGCTGCCAGATCTGCTGAGTTTCTGTAGTACTTTTTCTTTTTATTTAATATTCTGGGGATATGGGGTTGAATCCAATGATGGCAGATGGTGAAATAAGAAAATAACGGAACGAAATAAGAAATAGCCCGGTGGTGACCATATTTTGATTGGCGTTAAAAAAAAGTTTTACAAATGTCATTTAGGGAAGGAAATCTGCCATCTTTACCTTGTAAAGGTACATGTGATTCCAGATACATAACAATTTGGTTGACTGTGAACTTTTCTATGGGCAATTAGGGATGGGCAATAATTGCTAGTCTTGCCAATTCCCACAAACAAATAAAATATAAGCAAAGTATTGCAGATACTGAGAATCTGGAATATAAGTTTCTAATGCTGGAAATACTTAGCAGGACATGCAGTATCTGTGTAGACTTAAACAAAGTTAACATTTCGGGTCAATAACATTTTATCAGGCTTTGATAGAAAGCCACAGACTTGAAACATTGAAACTTGTATATGATCACAAGAAATGGATGCTGCAAGTTTGTGCCGTGTTTCTGGAAATCTGTCACAATGAATTCATGTTTTGGAAAGCACTGAATATTCCAGCCTGTTAAGAACGTGTTCCCAAACAGCCATATTCAACCAAAGGCTATTGCTTTTTACCATGGCTCATAATTTCATGACACTGGAGCAGATCAAATGTGGTGAGAGACATGTTATGACAAAGAGGATCATGAAAACTTACCGTTTGCCTTTAAATCAAAGGTACAACCAGCTTCAGTATTTTCACTTGATGGATTTAAATGTTGCTATCATTTCATAATCATGCCGTCATTTCATTGCAGCTTTGTAATCTCTGAAATAGTTGACATTGATTGCATGTTGACAAGCAGCTTAAATGTACAAAGTTACCCTCCCTTACATCAAGGAAGCCTTGGTGCAGAATCTTTTGGGAGGGGGTGGGTCTTGGCTACTGGTTGGAGAACAGATGTAGGTGCTGCACTGCCTTTATATCCATATCTTGTTCCACTTATAGGCCAGGAATACTCCTTTCGCTATGATTAAGGACCCTGAAGTCAGGCCAGCATACAGCAACTAGCTATTCCAAGGCCAGCCATTCTATTGAAAGGCAAGCCTCCTGCCCATTTCCAGGTTAGTACCAACAGCAGTTGGATTAATTGTCCACTTAATGAGCAGGAACGTCATCCAAGGCCTTCCTCCTATGGAGTTAACCCGAATAGAGACTGGAAGACGGTGATCCCTACCTGGCAATGCTTCTGCTGAAATACATATAACCCCCATTACCAAATGTGCCACTGGGGCGGGCACAGGATTCTTACATTTAGTGTAATTTGAGTTCGGTTAAGATACAGTTGTTTTAATAAAAGTGCAAATAAAGTCTGGATAATCTACAAAGGATTTTTAAACGTCTGTTCATACTTCCAGGAAAGATATTCTAAAACACATATATACTGAAAATGAAATAATACAGATAAGATTAGCATGGTCCTTGCACAAGGATGATACACAAAATCGTGAGGTATTCCATATAAAATAAAAGGGCATCATGATGTTTGTATTAATTAAATATCATTGTAGTAACAAAGACAGGGTTATACAAAACAAATGTCTCTATTTTATGGCCTTTATAGTTCCTCCTCACTTATAGACTTTATATTTTTAAATTCTAAATGCTGCAGAAGTTTCAGATAAGCAAGTTTGTATAAATGTTAAATTTTAAGAAAGACATGCCAAGCACAAAGCACGGTAATAGCCTATTTTTGCATTCTTAATGCTACAGTAGGGTGCAATTTGACAGCACTGTGGTATTTCGCCTAGTGGCTATTTGCCATTATTTTGCATCAGTGAAGTCAGACTGTTAGCAGTGAAATGGGGCAGACATCGTTGCTAAGCCTCCATTGAAATCCAAGCATTTTTACTGAAGGTGTGCTTCACTCATTTATAGGTACTAAGGCCAATTTTTCTACCATTGTTGCTATTGTCTAACTAAGTCTGTACAGCCTGGGACAGATCCTGGGATTTTCTTGATTTCTGGTCTGTGTAAAACTGATTTCAGTTTAAGAATAAATTATTGTTGGCAGTTTGGTGCCACCTAGGAAATATTGGTCTCCTCCAGTGCCACAACGACGCCACCTGAAGTTTGCAGGAACAGCACACATATCACTTGGGAACCCTGCAACCCAATGGTATCAATGTGGACTTCACAAGATTCAAAATCTCCCCTCCCCCGACCGTATCCCAAAACTAGCCCAGCTCATCTCTGTCTCCCTAACCTGTCCGTCTTTTCTCCCACCTATCCACTCCTCCCACCTCAACCCCCATCCCCACCTCCTACCTAGGAGCCTCATCCCCGCCTCCTTGACCTGTCCGTCTTCCCTTGACTGACCAATCCCCACCCTAATTCCCCACCTACACTCACCTTTACCGGCTCCATCCCTGCCTCCTTGACCTGTCCATCTCCTCTCCACCAATATGCTCCTTTATCCATCTTCCATCTGCCTCCCCCTCTCGCTGTATTTATTTCAGAATCCCCTTCCCCTCCACCATTTCTGAAGAAGGGTCCAGACCCGAAACGTCAGCCTTCCTGCTCCTCTGATGCTGCTTGGCCTGCTGTGTTGATCCAGCTCTACACCTTGTTATCTCAGATTCTCCAGCATCGGCAGTTCCTACTATCTCTGAATCATTCATTGTCATATGTTGTGTTACCAACCACTGCTAACCTGGGCTTTGGATGGAGTGTTGCCAGCAATTCTTATTCTGAATTTGAGAGCCCATCTAAATCAGATTGATTGAGGATAAAGCTGTATGCAGTTTTAATGCGAAGAGACATTTGTCTTACACAAGTTTTTTGTGTGACGGCAAGGTTACAAGTTACATTGACTAGTTAGACGTAATTACAAAAGACTGTCAGATGACATGACATTGTCTGTCTTCATCGGGATCTCATGCTAGACTCTTTGTGTGAAGCAGAAACATTGTCATATATTGTCAGATTGTGTGGGGCTTACTGCAGCTTCAACATTTACACCAGGTGGCGAGGGAACCAAGAAGAGGGAAAAACATACTTGATGTTATCCTGCCTGATCTGTCAGCCGCCGATGCATCTGTCCATGCACAGTCCTTGTGGGGACAAAGTCCCATCTTCACATTGAGAATGCCCTCCATCTTGTTGTGTGGCACTATCATCATGCTAAATGGGACAGACTTCGAACAGATCTAGCAACTCAAGACTGGGCATCCCTGAGGTGCTGTGACTCATCCACAGCAGCAGAATTGTACTCCACCACAATCTGCATATCCCCCACTCAACTATTATCATCAAGCCAGGGGTTCAGCCTTAGCTCAATGGAGAGTGCAGGAGGGCATGCCAGGAGGAGTACCAGACATACCTGAAAATGAGGTGTCAATCTGGTGAAGCTACCAAACAGGACTGCTGGCTTGCCAAACTGTATAAGTAGCAAATGGATAGACAGAGCTAAGCAATCCCATAACCAAGGATCAGATCTAAGCTCTGAAGCCCTTCCACATGCAGTCGTGACTGATGGTGGACTGTTAAACAACTCAATGGAGGAGGAGGCTCCACAAATATCCCCAACAACATTGATTGAAGAGACCAACACACCAGTGTAAAATATAAGGCTGAAGTATATGCAGCAATCTTCAGTCAGAAGTGTCGAGTGAATGATCCATCTCAGCCTCCTCCAGTGCTCCCCAGCATCACGACACCAGTCTTCAACCAATTCAGTTTACCCCAGGTGATATCAATATTGCTGAAGGCATTGGGTACCACAGAGACGATGGGCCCCAACAACATTCCAGTAGTAGCACTGAAGACTTGAGTTCCAGAACTTGCTGCTGCCCTAGCCAAGTTTTTCCAGTACAGTTACAACACTGGCATCCACCTGACAATGTGGAAAATTGCCTTGGGATTTAAACAAAAACCAGGACAGATCTAACCCACCCAATTTACAACCTATCGTTAGTAAAGGGATGGAAAGTGTCACCCATATTGTTATCAAGCAGCACTTGCTCAGCAATAACCGCCAACTCCTGACCTCTTTACAGCCTTGGTTCAAACATGGACCAAAGAGCTGATTTCCAGAGGTGAGGTGAGAGTGACCACCCTTGATATCAAGGCTGCATTCGACTGAAAGTGACGTCGAGGAGCCCTAGAAAAACTGGAATTAATGGGGATCGGAGGCAAATTTTCTGCTAGTTGAAGTCATACCTGACACATAGGAAGATGGTTGTGGTTGTTGGATGTCAGTCATCTTAACTCCAGGACATCTCTGCAGGAGTTCCTCAGGGTAGTGTGGTAGGCCCAGGCATCTTCATCTTCATCTGCTTTGTCAATAATCCTCCCTCCATCATAATGTCAGAAGTGGGGATGTTTGAATATTGCACAATGTGCAGCAGTATTTACGACTCCTCAGGTACTGAAGAAGTCCATGTTCAAATGCAACAAGATCTGGACAATATCCAGGCTTGGGCTAACAACTGGCAAGTAACATTGACACCACACAAATTCTAGACAATGACCACCTCCAAGTAAACGTGATCCAACCACTGTCTCTTGGCATTCCAATGGTGTTGAAATAATAAAAAATGAAAGAACTGCGGATGCTGTAAATCAGAAGCAAAAGCAGAAGTTGCTGGAAAAACTCAGCAGGTCTGGCAGCATCTCTGATGAGAAATCAGTGTTAATGTTTTGGGTGTCATGACCCTTGCTCAGAACTGAGGAAGGGTCACTGGACCCGAAATGTTAACTCTGATTTCTCTTCAGAGATGCTGCCAGACCTGCTGAGCTTTTCCAGCAACTTCTGCTTTTGTTCTTGGTATTGAAATAATATTCAGCTCCTCTATTCCTCTTGCCAAAGTGCATAACCTCACATTTTCCCACATTACATTATATCTACTGTGCTTTTGCCTACTCTTTTTAACCAATCTTATATCCCTGTGCAGATTTTTTTGTTTCATCCACATCACTTGCCCTCACTTTTAGTTTTGAGTCATGTACAAACTTGCCTAACATACATTGTTTCCTCATCCAAGTCATTGCAATATATTGCAAATAATTGTGACCCCAGTACTGTTCTCTGTGACAACCACTAGTTATAGTTTGCCATCCTGAAAGTGCCCCCTATGTCCCAACCATGTACTAGTTAGCTTTTCTTCAATCTATGGTGCTATACTACCTCCACCACCATGGGCTCATATTAAATAGCCTAAAGTGTGGTACCTAATCAAATACCTCTGAAAATCCAAATACATTGCATCTACTGATTCTGCTTTATTTCTCCTGCTTACCTCTTCAAAGAATTCTAGTAATTTTTTCAGGCATGATTTCCCCTTCATGAACCCAAAGGATCTAAGAATTCCTGAAAGATTACTACCAGTGTACCAACTATCTCTACGTACTTCCTTTAATATCTGAGGATGCATTCCATTCGGTCCATGGGTTTTATCGCTCACCCTATAGTCCCATTAGTTTACCTAACAAATTTTACCTAATGATAGTTATTGCATGTACTTCCTCTTCTCATTTTGCCGCTTTAATTAGTAATTATTCTGTCTTCCACAGTGAAGGCAGATGCAGAATGTTTATTCAAATCCTCTTCAATTTCGTGGTTCCACTATTATTCCCCCAGCCGCATTCTCTAAAGGACTGATGTTCAGTTTGGCTTCTCACTTCGTTTTTGTATATATAAAGACCCTTTTGCTAACTATCTTGATATTACTTGCATATTTACCCTTGAAGTGTATTTCCTTCCTGTTCATTATTTGATTTGGCCGACTTTTGTTGCCTGTTTTAAACTTTCTCAATCCATTAGTTTACCACATTGTTTATTTTCAATCTGATGTTATCCTTAAATTCCCCAGTTAACCATGGTTGTTTTATCCCCTTCGGAGAATTCTTCATCCTCACAGAGTTTTATCTGTAAGCCATGAACTACTTTCTTAAATGTCTGCCATTGCTCCTTGACTGTCTTTGCTGCTAAACATCTTCCCCAGTCCACTCCAGCCAGTTTAGCCCTCACTGTTTTGTAATTAAACTTATTTAAACTTAGCACAGTTGTTTCCGACCCATGTTCCTTTGTCTCAAACTGAATGCTAAATTCGACCATGTTATGGCCATTGTTTCCAAGGGAATCTTTTACTCTGACTTGATTAAACCTACCTGATTACACTTCACCAGATCCAAATGGCCTGATCCCAGGTTGGATCCATCATATGACTTTCTCTGCCAATTTGATTATCCAAATTGGCATGAATGTGGATGGGTCCATTTGGATCATTAGGACGTCTTCCAGGACAGGATTAACCTGTACAAGAAGGTCAGGTTTCACCTAAGCCGGAAGGGTACAAATATCCTTGCAGGGAAGTTTGCTAGTGCCACTTGGGAGGGTTTAAAATCAACGTGGCATGGGGGTGGAACTAGAGTAGTAGGTCAGCATGTGGAGTGATTGAGATGGTCGATGTTAAGACAAGTAAGTCCAATAGGAAGAACAGAAAGGGGCAGGTCTATAGGCCACC